TTAAGTTCATTGGCAGAACAATTGAATGGGGGGGCGGAAGGCATGGAGGGCAACCATGGATGCCAGGGACAATGGAGGAGGAAGATGGGACACAGCAGAGGGTGGGGGATGGGGAATCAGGGATGGCAAGACAAAGGGCAAGGTATGCAGGACGTAAGAATTGGAAAATTATTTGCTGAGAACATGTATGTTGATGTGCTTGATTGAACCAATGCACAGTGTATTTTGGATGGAAAATTCATTTGTGTGTTGTGATGGTGTATAGTGAATTAATGTAGAAAATAAAAAAATTTTAAAAAATAAAAAAAATTAAAAAAAAACAAAAAAACAAACAAAATAAAACCCTAAAAAGTAGAATTGGAAATGAACTGGTTAACTTCTTCTAAGAAGCAAATCATATAACTTTTTCCAAGTTTACTGATCAGGTGATAATGAAAAATTTCCTTTCCACTGCACATTTTATTTATTCTTTAATGCTTGTAAATCTGACTTCTGTTTTAGCCACTTAATGAAACTTCTTTCACAGTTTTATGGTTTTTCCCTGGGGCTCCATTCATGACTTTTTCCTCATTCCACTCACTTCTGCTGTCCTTTTATCCTTATATAAGTTTACTTATTTATTCTGTGAGAGAGAGACAGACAGAGACAGAGCAAGACAGCATCTCCAATAGGGTCCTCATGCTGCCAGCCCCGATCACAGGGACCTGCGTGCCCCACCTCCCCACGGGACCCAGGGCCTTTCCCGTGTGGGCCTAGTTGCATCACCACTGCACCACCACCAGGCTCCTCTGCTGAGCCTTACCCTGTCTCTGATTCTAATCACCACGTCTGTACTGATGACACAAAGCTTCTTGCTTGAGTTCAAGACTCAAATGATCAACTATTTTGACATCAGCTCCCTTTACCTCAGGTTTAACATGTTGGTACTATATACGTTTTTAGTCTTTCTTTTTCTCTCCACCTTAAATTGAATTCATTTGTATCCCTAAAATGCTCATGGCATATGTGGTGGTTAAAAAATATGTTCACAACTCTTGTCATAGTCCTGTTTTCAAGAAGTGAAGTTTAAGAGTGTGGACTTAGTTGGGACCAGCAGTTAGTGTAATGGCTACATCGCTGGACTCCCACGTAGTCGGTCACGGCTCATGTCCTGGACCCGGTGGCTTAAAACTCACGCCGGGCGCATGTGCGAGCATGTCCAAGAACCCAAGAGGAGAATGGAGAAGGAATTGCGGCGTGGCTATCCCCCCCAGGGGGGGGTGATTTCTCACTTTCTGTCTCTCTGTCTCTCTCCGTCTGTCTGGTGAGCGCACGCGCCCTATAGCAAAAACCTCTCAAAAAGAAAAAAAAACACAAAAGAGAGTGTGGACTTAGTGATGTATTTTAAACAAGGAGAATATGGCAGAAGTGGTAAGGGTTTGATCTCCTTGTGGCTGCCTTTTTCCCTCTTGGGCAACGTTGCGCACTCTGGGATGAGCCAGCTGCCATGGCGTGAGGACACTCTGGCAGACCTATGGGGGAGGTACATGTGGCGAGGACCTGAGGCTTCCTGTCAACACCCAATGGAACACTAACACTGAGAGGGACCCGCCTTGGAAACGGATGCTCTGACCACAGTCAAGCCTTCAGATGACCATAGTCCTGGCCAACAGCTTGCTGCAACGTCAAGTCAGACCTTGAGCCAGAGGCCTCAGCTAAGGTGCACCTGAACGTGAATGACAGAGATGGAGAACATGTTTGCTTTTTAAAATAACTAAGTTTTGGGGTAACTTATTGCTCAGCCAACTGATAACCAATATAGCATCCACATTCAAAATGCAAGTAGAGATGGTTATAGGAAACTGTTTTAACTGAAATTTCTCCCCATTTTAACGACACTCCTCTTCCTATTTTCTCAATGAATAATGCCATCACTTACTCAGTATCCCAAATGAAAAATCTGGAATCAACTACACTGTCACATGTATTCTCACTGCTTTAATTCAGGGGCTTTACCATTATTCAATTACTACAAGAGGGTCTTCCACATCCTTCCCTCTCTGAAGTGTTTCCCAGCTCCAATGTATTCTAATAGGCTAACGTCAATGAGAGCTTCTTTTTCTTTTTCTATAAGGCATGTGTGCTTGCCAGAGAGAGAAAAGGCAAGAAATTACCCCCCAGTGGGGCTGGCCACCTCACAATCCCTTCTCTTCTATTCTCTCGAGATCTTGGGCACACACGCACACATGCCTGGTATGAGTTTTAAGCTGCCAGATCTGGGACTTGAATCATGGACGACTATATGGGAGTCCAGTGACATAACCATTATGCCATCTACTGGTTGCAATGAGACCTTTTTAAAGCATGCATCTCATCATGTTATTTTAATAAGCTTCACTACTGGCTCCATTACATAGGACAAAATTCAAATGTCTTAGGATGACAAGTCTATCCTTGCCCTATAGTTTTCACTCTCATCTCCAGTGTTTACAGCTACAAACAGCTCATCTTTTTCCTTTCATACTGTCTTCTCCTTCATTCTTCCCTTTTAACTCCTACTACCACATTCCCTCCCCTCTGTGCCCCTGGGCAAAGATTCAACTCAAGCTGTGTCTCAGAAAACCTTCCTTAACTATCAGGACCTGGTTAGATGACTTTCTTAGGTTATCACATATGTAAAGTACTGTGCCTTCCACTAGGATGGGAGCGCCTGGAAAACACAGACTATCCTTAATACCTCCAAGTTCATTTATTCATGCATACTACTTATGCCTACTGAGCTACTATATGATGGCACTGTATCAGGTGCTTCTTAGTGATTAAAGAGATAAATATGCCGGAGTCCTTGCAGACCTTGTCTATTCAAGAAAGTCAAATAAGTCAGTCAAATATTGGGAGATCTAAAAAAAAAAAAAAAAAAGTGACCAGAGAGGAACAGTAGAGACCTACTTTAACTTGCAGGGCACTAAGTTATACTCACTTACTGAATTAAACTGCTTTCCAAGAGATGTGTACATAAATTATAGTTTCACTGCTGAGGTTTAAGTGGGCCAGGTTCATCCTTGCTAACACTGGATCTGATTTTTAAAAAACATCTTTGTTCATATTGCCAATGTCGCATTCTTGGCTTATAAATTCTCAGTCCTAAAAATCAAGAATAAGGCGTGATGAAATATTCACAAAAAAAGACGTCTCATTAAACACAAGCAGAAACCTACCTTTACATATAATTAGGGTATTTTTATGCATGGCTAACTTCAAAATAAAATCACTTGCAAGATCACACATTTTACTATTAAAAAAAGTAATGTTATGGCCAGTGGGTGGTGTGGTGGTTAAGACACTGAACTTTCCTCACATAGCTAACAAGTTTGAACTCCAGACCCAGCAGCTTGAAAATCACATCAGGCTCGCTTGCATGCATGCCCAGAATCCCAAGTGGAGAATGGAGGAGAAGGGACGGCTGTGTAGCCATCCCCCTGGGGAGGGGCAACTTCTCACTTTACCCCTCCAAAGCACATGCATGCTTTGGCAAAAACCCAACAAACAAAAAAATCAAAAACACAAAAGCTAGTTCTTTCTGGTATTCTCAAGTCTGCAGCAATTATTGCCCAGCTTTTTTAAAAGAGCAAATTCCGAGGGGATTCCTGCCTTTCTCTTGGCTCCCTGCTAAATGAGTCACAACTACATTTTTGGGACAGTGAGTGACTTACAGTTAAAAAAAAAAAAAAAAACAGTATTTTTAAAAAGGAAATGGGAAATGACAGGATGAGGAATATATTAAAGTATATAAAGCAATTAAAATATTATTTTTTAATTTAACCAGACAGAGACAGAGAGAGGAGGTAGCAAGAAAGCAAGCTGCCATGTCCAGAACTTGAACTGCACTTGGCCATCTGGGATTCCAGCGACTTTAACCACCATGCTACCTCTTTTTTTTCTTTTTCTTTGTAACCCCTTTTCTTTCTTTTCTCTATCCGTGAGGATTTTGGGTACACATGTACATGAACCTAGTGTTTTTGTCAAGCCAACAGAGCTGGAATTTGAATATGGACTGGCTACATGGAATTCAACTCCCTTAACCAATACAGGGTCAGTCCACTTATTAAATAATTTTTTAATGTTTTATAGTCGTTCCAAAAAATCAAAATATATAGCTGATGATAAAAATTTCAACTGTTACTTATAATATTTGAGAAGGTTTCAGGTCTGATTATTCTATTAACATAGAACACATAAATTCTAAAAACAAAGCAAATATTCTCATGGACAACAAAACTTATATTTTACTAATGATCCACATATTTCTGAAACTTTCAGTGCAGATTAAAAACAGGGTTACAAAGAGTAAATAAGTCTGGGAACCAGCAGTTAGTGAAATGGCTATGTCGCTGGACTCCCACATAGTTGACCGCGGTTCGCATCCCGGACCCGGTGGCTTACAACTCATGCCGGGCGCGTGTGCATGCGTGCCCAAGATCCCGAGAGGACAGTGGAGAAGGGATTGCGGTGTGACCATCCCCCCTGAGGGGTGAATTCTCGCTTTCTGTCTCTATGTCTCTGTCTGTCTGGCAAGCACACACGCTCTATAGCGAAAAATCTCTCCAAAACAAAACAAAACCAATGAGTAAATGAACCCCCCCCCCCCCCCCCTTTCTTTTTTTTCTTTTTTTAGATTTTTTGCCATAGGGCACATGCCTGATCTCTTTTCCTCTGTTCTCCTCTTGGAATTTTGGGCCAGTATGCACACATGCCTGGCATGAGTTTTAAGCTGCCAGGTCTAGGACTCAAACCATGGTTGGTCATGGTCTGGGTCCTTAACCACTATGCCACCTGCTGACCCAGTCTATTTCTTTTTAGTCCAGATTTGCTACAACATCAGCTGATTACGTCTTTTCTGAATTTATTGCTGTGGTCCTGAAAAATGTAATCAGTACAAACGAGGGAAAAAAAATAGCTTATACTTTACCGCATAAACCTCGTCAGTTGGAACAGTAGTATTTTTTTCTTGGAAAAGACATTCATCTTTGCTCTCATGGCATATTTCAACATTTAGCTGGAATTTGTGCCAAGAGATAGGCATTCATTACCAAACCTGTTCACCACATGCACATTTTCTTTTTTTAAACAAACTGATAGTTGCCAAATGAAAAAATGTCAATCTGTGGCTTTTCAGAGGCAAGGAGTTTTTAATTTTTATTTTTGGTTCTGCAATATAATTTCACCAAGCTTTTAAAGATATTCATTTTATTATTAACCTATAATAATTATTTTAGAGTAGGATATAAAAACTGTCAACATGAGTTAGAAATATAGTTTACAATGGTCATAATTATTCCTGACAGTGACAGTATTTTAACCTCTCAGACAGTCTTGACAGACTATCAATGTAACTCGAATAATTAACATAATACATGTTTTTGAAAAGCAAATTATTTCCCTCATGATTTTTAGAAAAAAAATCTGTAAAAATATTTCTCCTTTATATATTTCCCTGCTATTATAATGTTAAAACTTACTGGATTTTCCTCAAACTTCAGGTGTAGGAATGTATCATCCCATTTTAATTAAAATGGTCCTTAACACAGCCAACATATTTTTTCAAGGCACTCTAAGAACTCTTGAGGACACAGAAGGAAAAACGTTCCTTTTGCCAACTGATCTTTTAGGTGTATTTCCCTTCAAGCTTTTCTAAATTAAGCACTGTTATAACTGGTTTTTCCAAAGGTTTGTTTTCCATGGCAGAGTCCTCAAGTTATTTTTCTTTTATTTGGAGTCACTCCTTCATTTTCAACTTGCTGAGCAGGCAAACAACTGGTTTTGGTTTCCATGGAAACTGGATTCCTGCGGCTGCGTGTAGGCATTCTTGTTCCACCAACCTGAGAGGAAGCAAAAACCAAAACAGCTTTAAGGTATTTACAACACACCTACAACTCTGTTACTTGCACATGTATCAGCCACCTTGCAAATAATCTTTTTTAAAAAAATGATTTATTTAATTTTATTTGTTATTATTTATTTGAAGAGAGAGA